TGCCCTGAAAGCTATGTTCGATTACTGCATTTCATTAATTCGGATTGGTACTATCAATTGTTGTATATGTGTACTATATTACAAAGACTTAATTCAGACGAGTATATTCCAGCAATAAATCTTTTTTTACTTTCCAATTTATTTGTTTTTTTGTTATATTTGATCTTTGCTTTTTATTTGTTTTTCATATGTTCTTTTCACATTGAAACTACTTAGGTAGTTATTGATGACATCACATTTAAATATGCTTATTTAAATATTCTTTATGCTGAGCTTAAATTCTATGCTTTCCAAATAGTTTAGAAAGTGAAAAAGCAAAACAAGATTTTCAATTACAAAAATAACTTTATATATCCGCGAATTCACACTAAAACTCAATACACACTATTCCTACGATTAATGGATCCCAATTTTCCAGTAGTTTACCAGATGTACTGTAAAATTCCGCCTTCATTAGCATCATCCACTTTGATTAGTGAAAATTCTTTTACATAAACCAACTTTCGAGAGATGATGGCTCTCGAATGACCTAGCACAAAACGTACGAACAACAAACAGAAAAAGTGAGTTCTTCATTCTTCAAGTAAAAGACAATGTTAGTCTCTTCTATGTTACCAAAGAAGTAAAATTGTAACAGTGGGAATGCAAATAGTAAATAACAATTGCGAATCCCTTATCCAAGTAAAAGCGAACTGTTTAAAAGGGTGAAACCGCTGACAGCAAAATTAGAAAAAAACCTCTAAAGATTTTGAGTCTTTTCTTTGAAATTAAACAGAGCTATCAAATATGTCTGTTATTGCAATAATTCACCAATCTATGCGATGTCTATTTGAGTTCTACGATCTTATTGTTTTAATAGATTGCATTTCTTCTGTAGACCACTTTTTTCTTCTATAATTTTAACAATCTATTTTTACAATCTCGAATAACTTAAAATGAATATATATATGAATACATCTGGAACCATCCTATCTAAGTCTTAATAAGGAACTACACATGAAAATTAAATTACTTTATCCTTTTAAAATGTAACTGAGAAACCTAATATATTTTTTCTTTTTCCTATAACAAACCCTGACTACAAAGAGTGCAGTATCAACTCAAAAACAAATTTTAATATTTTTTTTTCTGCAACAAAACCTAACCAAAATTCATATATTTTTGGATTCATTTCAACACTATAAGTATCTTGTTTTCACTTTGCAATTATGTATCCCAACCTACAGAAAAGCAAACATAAATTTTTATGATATTTTTTATTAAAATCAATCAAATTCTCAAAGTGACACCGCACGAGTGTCTATCAATTACAAAGGTGTTTGCCGATTTTGAAGCTGCGATTGAACACTTTTTTTGCGAGCAATGCTTGGATTTTTAATTTTTTTCCTAATTTTTTGACATTTAATCTTTTTAATCATTTTTGCAAGGTGTTATTAATTCGAACAGTTCAATGTTAATCAAAAAAAGAAAAGATTTTTAATATTTGATAAAAATTCGCAACTTTTAATTAAACTAATTAAGATGAAGCAATAAAGTGAAGAAGAAAAGAAAATACAAATGTTCGGCGAACTTTGATAGTAACTGAGTCTAACCAGCAAACTAACATACTAAGTATCTGCACTTTTTTTGTTAAAAAAGCAATGAGATTTAAAGAATGCCGAATAATGGGAACAAATTCCAACATTTTAGATATTTAGAGAATACGAACGATTTCTAGCATAACTTTACCATTTCCAATTGGCGGATAGTCCCTACTATTCAATCTTTTACAAAATTACTTTGAACGTGGAATATGTACTATTTCATTGTGACCATTTCAAAAAAGGGTTTGAATATTTCGGGCGGTCTATAAATAGTAGAAGCTCTCACCTACTATCTACTAGCACCATCACGCATAAAATACGGTTAAGTAACCTCAAATCAAATGCTATAAAAACGTTCGCTACGACTTCATTCTTAATCTCTTTAGTCCTATCAAAAAAATATTGACTTCATTTCTTTCATTCTCAATTTTGACAGGAAATTTAATGTCAATTTTTCATCCAGAGTCACTATACTGTCGAAAAGTATCTCACTAAGAGAAAGTTTAACGATATATTCTGACTGCGCAGAAATGGGAATTGACATAAGTAATAATTAATTAAAAAATAAATTATAATTAATAAATAATTTTTTCTTAAAAATTATGAAGAAATCAACATATTTTAAGCTTTCTGATGTCCTGATTATTAAAGAAGCTATAGCTTGTCTGGAAAGTAATCATATATTGAATAGGAATACTATTAAACACCTGCAGTTTTTGACTGCTACAAACGTCTTATTGAAATATCCAGGCAGTTTAAGATTTTTATATCCTGCGTTCCCGGTCGTGGAGATATTTTCAATAACTACAAGACAGATGAAGTAGACAAATGTGATACGTCAGGTGATCATTTTATCTGCAAGAAGCTGTTGATAAGTTCTGTATTTAACAATTGATCAATTTACTACAAGATTGGAAGACTCAGCGATTTCCTAGCAATCACACTGAGATGCCTGTAAAAATATCCGCCTTGTGGTCATCAGCTTTTTGACGGCCTATAGCCGTTTAGAAAATCATTCGACAATATTAAATCTTCCGTTTAAATACTATCGCAGCAGTAGGAAGATGATTAAAATAAAATGCTGGAAAAAAACTGAAAAATATATTCAATTAAAAATAACTATAATTGATTAATTCAATTAGTATATAGCTGGTTGATGATTTCGTTATTATATAACACACCAAGTGAATTTATTAATGAACTTTGACAGTAAATTAAAAAAATTCCAAGTTAGAGAATACAAGTTAAGTACGACATTCAGTCAGTTGGGTATTAAACACCGATTCTGAGCTTTAAATTTGGCAATGCAAGAGTTCAACCCTTGATACTTGCAGCCTTAAAATAAATTATTTACGAATAATCAAATATAAAAAATAATTTCCAAAACCATTGATGATGAGTATTTTTGAATACTCGAAACGGGTGTATTATGGTCAACCAAAAAATTTAAATAATTAATAAAAAAATAAAAAAAATATTGTTGTTGATTCATTAATGTTCAAAATCCTCTCTATTAAAATAGTAGTTTCTATTAAACAGCATGGTTTCTTTCATCATCATTGGCTTTAAAAATCAAATTTAATAAAAAAAATATTTTTTTTTTAAACCAATTATGAACTGAATTTTATAGAATACTCTGACTCTGCATTAAATTTAATTAATTATATTTAAGTAAATAAATTAAGAGGTTTTTCTTTTCGAACAGTGGTGAACGACAACAACAAAAATTTTATTTTATTGTTTTTATATTATTTTAATTAATTGCATAAACTAATATATTAAATTGTCTATTGCTTCAGTTTTTGCATTTATCTCGCTTAATTTAAGTTAGTTTCCACATAATCTTTATGATGAACGCTGCCTACTTTCAGGTCAATTTTTAATGATTGCTTAGATACTTTTATATTGCATATAATGAGGATTGATAAAACAACATCTCTACACTATTCTACATAACTAAAAAATTAGTTTTTTTTTACAATTATTTTTCTTAAATATATTAAATAATTTTAAAATAATCTCAAAAATACAAGTTGTTATTGTTGTTTTACAATATGACTTATAAATTAATTATACATTTACATGTTATACATTTATCGGTTTTCAACGTTAAAAAATACCTCAACAGAACTGCAAAAGTGGTTTAAGCTAATCCATTATATCATAGGTTATCACATAATACATAAGATATTTTATTTTAGTTTTTTAATTTCATTTTTTTACTAATTATAAACCTGTTAAATTTTTTTAACAGATAAAATTTATTTTCGTGAGAATACTATTATACAGAAAATATAAATATGCAATACATAAGACACATAAGTTTATTAATTAATAAAATCGTTTTCAGTTTTTTAATATAATTTTCCAAGAATTATACACCTTTAAAATTTTTGTGCCTGATAAGGTTAGGTCGTCAAAATATTATAATAAAACATGATAACCCACATCTAAGACACTTGAAATTAATAAAAAATGATAACTTCTCCAAAAATGTAGAAATATAAAAGATCGGAAATATAATAAATAAATATTTGTACATATACATATCTACACATATCTGTATAATATTATATGAAAACTTAAGTATAATAATACATATAAATAAATAATATGTATTATTGTATTATTATTATTAAGTAAAACAATATAATTGAATATTTTTATAATGGGTATAAAGAGTTGTCAATTTTATCCAAAGATTTCCGGTACCACTGCATTTGGTTATCTTGCTTTTTAAATACTTCATTAACTTCTATGAATAATTAAGTGTCATTTATTGATAATTATCTTATTTATTTAATTTTATTCTGTATCACAATTTTTGCAAATAATTTTAATTTAATTTAAAATTTTATTTATACCTTCTACTGTTCTTAGTAAAATATATTGTCCCAAGATTGTAAATTAAAGATGTCATCAATTTACAACTTATAACACAAATTTTTAATTGCATAATAAAAATTGTAAATACAAATATTTATATATAAATATATATAAGAGAAAAAAATGTATATAATCGAAATAAAATTATTGATATTATTGACATATCTGACATCACGAAAACGAATGCCGTTTTGAATAATAAATTTTAACCTCCGGTTTGGAAAAAAGCACACGACGAATTAAATTCAACTTTTATTGAAACAACAGTTTAACTATATGCAAAAAGTAAAAATAATATATATAATTAAATTGATATTTTTAATAAATATTCATAGACTATTAATGAAATTTAAGCTCTTCAAATGAATTTCAGTGGAAAGTCTAGAACGAAGCACACAGCCAAATGCATTAAATAGATGTACTTATGCAATTAGATTTAGCTTCTCTGTGCCTAAGAGATAAGATTTGCATTGAGTAGATCGAGTGGAGTGGAGTAAAGTGAAGTGGAGTGAAGTGATGCAGTATAGACCTGCATCTATAATTGATTAGAAAAGTATAAATTGTTTAATTTAAATCAAACTGACATCAGTTGCAGCAGAAATTCACAAAGCATTAAACTAAATATGAATAAATACTTAGTGAGTGAAAATAAATAAATTTAATGTTTTTTATATTCAATGATTTTAATTTGAAATATTTAATTTTTCAAGATATCATGTCTCGCCTTAATGGTGGGCGTAATAGCAGTGAACGGATATGGCACTGGAGGTGGCGGTGGTAGTCACGGTGGTGGATCTGGTAGTGGATTTGGTGGTGGTGGTGGAAGTGGCTTAGGTGGAGGTCACGGTGGTGGATTAGGTGGAGGACCTGGTGGTCATGGTGGTGGAGGTGGAATTGGTGGCGGCCCAGGAGGTATTGGTGGCGGACCAGGTGGTTTTGGTGGCGGCCCAGGGGGTATTGGAGGTGGTCATGGCGGCGGCCATGGTGGCGGCCTTGGCGGTGGTTCTGGTCTCGGTGGTGGTGGTGGTGGCGGTGGGCCTGGTCTTGGTGGTGGTCATGGTGGCGGTCTCGGTGGCGGTTCTGGCGGACACGGTGGCGGAATAGGTGGTGGTCCTGGCGGAATTGGAGGTGGTTCCGATGGATTCGGACCAGGTGGTGGTCATGGTGGTGGTGGTGGTAGTGGAATTGGTGGTGGATCTGGCGGTTTCGGCCCAGGTGGTGGTCATGGTGGACACGGTGGCGGTATTGGTGGTGGACCTGGTGGATTTGGTGGTGGCCCAGGTGGTTTTGATGGACCTGGTAATTCAATCGGTGGAGGTCCTGGAGGCATAGGTGGTGGTGGTCATGGAGGCCATGGTGGACATGGTGGTGGCGGATACAAAAAGAAGGGCTACTAAAAAGTGTGTTTATTTACCTAATATAATTCTGTGATGCTTGTTTAAACTAAAAATAATTCTATAAATAGTATTTTTGTTTAATAGAATTTTAATAAAATTTTCTATTTTAGAATATAAACAAACAAAGAAATATATTTATTTAAACTTTGACACCATACAACAATATCAGTTGAAAAATTAGTACAAACATCTGGTGGAGCTATCTGTAAATAATATACGAATGTTGAGAAAGATAAGAGCTTAGTAAAATTTAAAAAAACATTATTTTTTTTAAATATAATATTTTTTTTTATTATAATTTGTGATTTGCTTGGTGTTTTCTGTATTAAATTTTCCAAAATTCTAATTAGGAATTATAAAAATAGATCAATTTTTATTTTATATTTTTAAATGTAATATGTGGCTCTCATCAATTTCATCAGACAATGACTCAAGAGTAATATAACAACTAACAAACAATTAACAATTGACATAACGTAAAAATATGTTATGTTAATCGATTAACAGAACCTCTACTTTACCATGAAGATTTCTAAATACTTGGATTAGAAATCAGCGAAGGCATAGATTATCCTAGGACTAAATCAAAGAAACATCAAGTCATTGTCGAATATTTTGAGAACTATACCAACTTATATTAAATTAAACTTAATCTTTGTGATTATGAATTCGTATAACCTAAGATACATACTTTCATAAATGATACATAATATTTTATATTAAATTTTCAGAACAAATATGTTATGTGAATATATCAGCTGAAGTTTATAGCTAAACCCAGAACAAAGGTAGAGTGCATTTTTAACAAATTCTTAACCAGTAAATAGTGACTTATACTATAAATGTAACTGTATAGAAAACATGAATCAACAATTTTAAGTTATTTAAAGTTTTTTAAAGATTTCAATTCTCAACAAAAACAAATAAAACTCAAGAAAAAATACCACAACATTAATTTTTAAAATACTGTAATTATATATTAAAAATATTCTCATTACTGAGACTTATAAAATTTTTTGTCTAAAAATTAATTAAATTAAATTTATTTCCAACTATTAATTAACAATTTCACACTAACCTCTTAAATAAATTTTGTACATACAAACAACTTCCTAAAGATCACAAGACAACATTGTTTTTGTCAATGCTACTTATACCTTCGTACTACTCTTCACTTCATGAAATTCTCAACCCAACTTAAATGTTTTAAATGTTAGAAATCATCATATAAATGTTGTACCTCTAAAATATATGCAATCGCAATTTTTTTCAAATATTAAATGTTTTACATGTGAAAAATATTCATATGAAATTTGTACCTTAAAAATTTTCGATGACATTCAATAGAAAATTAAATGACGAATGAAAGTAAAATCAGGGTTTCAAATTTCTGTCGATATAACAGTGCGATTATATTCAATTAGAAATGAAATGACGAAGAAAAGTGCCATCAGTATTTAAAATGTCTTTACAAAATCTCTATATAAATATTTTCAATGTTGAACATTTTTTTCAAATATTGAATATTTTATTTCTGATGTCTATGGAAGTATATTCAATTAGAAATGAAATAACGAATAAAAGTACCATCGGGGTTTAAACTTCTTTAAAAACTTCTATACAAACATTTTCAACATTAAAAATTTCTTCCAAATTTGAAATATTTTAAATTCTTAAATATTTCTTCTAACAAATCATTTCATATATTAAAATTACAAAGTTACTGTCATTCATTTAATGACAGTAACTTGGTTTTCTTTAAGAACATTGTAATTTCGCATCATTTAAAATTCATAACCATTTAAACCCCCCACTGCTTTAAATACCTGTTAAAACAAGTAATGATAAGTTCATCTGTGGTATTGTTATTTGCTTTTACAAACATTTTTCATAAATGATTAATATAGTATATATACTATATATATATATGTGTGCGGAACTACTTTTCTTGAACGCATAACGTAATAAAGTTATATACAAACAAAGTCACATCGATTCGCAAACTCATAAAATCCATTTGAAAATTGACGAATTCCTCTTAAAAGCGCTCAAAGTGAAATTCTCTAATTGTGAGCAGTGACATGAAGTCACATCCAGCAGCATCATTACTCATTTTGACAAATGTCACAAAGCACAAAAATGCGCACTATTTGCCATTTTGTGTTTCCTCCTTTAGTGCAGAGCAGCGAAGTGCCAATACTCAAGCAGAGCAGCTATTCCTTTAACAAACTGTATCCGCCTAAATAAAACTCCTTAATCTTCAGCAAAGTCATTCCATGTCATGGCGGCGGTGTTGATTATTTGCGCAAAACACGTTCCCATACAATTTCTCACCAGGACCTCGGAAGCAATGTCGAGTGCTAATGTAATGTCACTCTTCCAAAAGTCAAAATAATTAATGAATATTCTTTCATATTTAATACACACGCATACACAGGATTTCAGGATTTTATTACACACACTTAAGTGCGTAATTTGAAAGGCTTAAGCTTCGTAATGCTAAGGATTTGGTACACTTAAGTATGATTTGTTAAACATGATTATTGCTATGAATGATGTAGCGTATAAAACTTTTATCTACCTGTGTTATATTGAAAATTTATTTTGTATCTCAGCATTTTAGCGAAATGCTGAAATTTTCGCTTCATTTGCCGTTTTATTGTTTATTTTGCATACGTGCATTTAATTCTCATTTTACCCATTTTCGTCAACGAATTTTTTTTTTCTATTTGCTGAGACTATAATATGGCAAAAATATATCCTTTATCCTTTATTGTTGTTGTTGTTGTTGTTGTTGTAAATACACAAAGGAAGGGAAAATTCTGCTTAAAAGTTTTGTCAGTTCACTTTTGCCAATATGTTTTTCATCATTTTCAGATTTCATGCCAAGAAAAAAGTTTGTCTTATATTCAAAAATTCAAAAATTTCAAGGAAAATAATTCCTTGGAAAATAAAATAAAGAATAAAATAAGAATGCAATTGATATCATTTACTTTTTGTTAGGAGTTTGTCCTTTTAAGTTGAAAAATTGATTTTTCGCTTAAGCGAATTTTCTTTATTTTTGTAATGATTGACAAATTGCTTATAAAATCCACTTAAGTCCTTCACAAACTTTTTGTGAAATTAGTTTATTTTTTGCCACTGATTTTATAAGCGCCTGAGATTTCATTTTTTATTATTTTTTATCGGTATTTGTCCTTAACTTCCTTTAAAGTTTGTTGCAATTCCAAGCGATGAAACATCAAACAAATAAAAAAAATTCGTAGTTTTTGTTATTTTTCTCCCATTTTAGCTGATTGTAGTTATATATTTTTTCAATACTTCGCCTTTGGAACGATAAAATATGATCAAAAGTTTACACTTTCCTTTCTTGTGTACTCAGGAAACTCAGGAAATTTTTCACAAATTTGTTTGTCCAAAGTTGGTAAGGCTTGTGTACGTACGTATATCCCTCCTATCAAATCCAGGCAAATTTAACTTGTACCAGGTTTTTTGCCAACCTTAAAAGTAAAGTGAAGTTATGATTGAAAAGTCCAATTTCTTTGGTTTCTGCAAGTTTCTCAATTACCAAAAATTGCTCTGTACCTTGTTTTTTTCATTTTGGTTTATTTTATTTGAAGAATTTACAAGTTTGGCTTTATAGTCACATATGTGTGGTGTAGGGATGCGAAGTCAATGAAATTTTTTCATCAAAATAATTTGATCGAACTTTTTGATTTCACTTAAAAATAATGAAAATTTACTTAAAAATGATTTCTATATATAAAATATAAAGCAAAACTCTTATACTGACATTTTTAATTTAACAAAAAGTTTAATAATTTAAATTTTTACGAGCTAAAAGTCATGGCAGGTAGCGCTGGTTTTTCTTATCCTAGTTACAAGATTTTATATTTTATAATTAATTATAATAAATAAATTTAAAAAAAAATAAAATGGTATTGAAATTTAACAATTAAAAATATAAATAAAAATATAATTTGGCAATATTCGAAACAGCTATATGGTCGACCAAAAATTCAATTAATTAAAATAATATAAAATTTTTGTTGCTGTAATTCACTACTGTTCAAAAAAACCTCTTTATAAAATACAATTAATTAATTCAATTATTCTATAGCTGAATTTTTGAATGGACCTTCACAGCAAACCACCAAAACTCCAAAAAAATGTGCGAATATAAAAAAAGTCAAATATGGCTTTGTGTCAGTTGACTACTGAACGCTGGCTCTGAGCTTCAAATTTGGGCAGGACACGAGTTCGATTTCTGGTACTTGCAGTCTCAAAAAATTATTTACGAATAATTAAATACAGGAATTATTTCCGAAACCACTGATGGTGGGTATTTGGCAATATTCGAAACAGCTATATGGGCAAAAATTCAAATAATGAAATTAATATAAAATGAATTTTTGTTGTTGTAGTTCACTACTGTTCGAAAACACACTTTATAAAAAAAATAATAAAATTTCTATACCTTATGATCAGAATTTTATTTAGTATAGTACTAGACGAATTGATAAATAACCGGCCTAAGTAATAAAAACGCAATTTTTTTTAAAAATTATATTTTTTACTTCAATATCCGTATATTTCCCTATTAGTTTGTTACACCGGGTCCAACGATCTTTGAACATTTTAATAACTTTTAAATAATACGATTTATCAAGTCTTTCAAAATATACTTCAGTTTCCTACTCCACTTTATTGTTTGATGCGAATCACTTTCACTAAAGCCATCTTTTCAAGTTTGGCAACAAGTAATAGTCACTGGAAGCCAAATCTAAAGAATATGATCGGTAATATGATCGAGTTGCTCGTACCGTAAATCATTTAATTTTGCCATGGTTTTTATTGACGTGTGACGTATTGCGTTATCCCGCAAAAACAAAGTTGATTTCGTCAGTCAATAGATCCAATAATATATAATAGTAGTCTATAAAAATCATTCCACGAGTTCCTAAATATTAAAGGCAAAACTTTTCTAGCCGATTGTTAAGGTCATGCTCGCTACCCTTTGGGCTCCGTCCGTTCTCTGGCTTATAGTTTTCCCTCAGGTGTAAAGTCATGTCATGTTTTATCAATTATCACTACTCA